CTGAAACTCCGACGCGGCGTCCTCCTGCATGTCTTCCGCGCCCACGGTCAGTCGGCTCGAGCTTTCGGGAGCCTCCGATGAGAAGCGTGCAGCTTCAGACTTTGCAAACTTCGCAAACTTCTCTGCCTTTCACAGAGTCTTTCGAGTCAGGCCTTCGCCTTCGGCTTCGGCTTCGGCTCCGGCTCCGGCTTGGCTTGAGACACGCGCCAGGCTTGCAAAGTCGCCTCTGGCGCTTCCTCATCTGGCTTGCGGCAGATGTTCCTGAGAAACGGTGGGAGCAGAAACCATAGCCGACGCACTGCCCCAGCAGGGAAATCCCAAATTCTCAACACATCTGCTCTTTAACGAAACTACCTGACCTCATCACAGCCATCGACCTCTTTATCGTTATAAGTCATAAGGCCTTTACATAAAGCCGCTTTAGGCCGCCAGGAAGCTTGTGACGCTTCCAGGCGTCGGTCTGACACTCTCGAGAGCAGTAGAAAGCTTTCTTGCACTTCCCACATTGCAGCAGCTTCTCGAACTCCTGCCACAGGACGTCTGACGAAGCAACAGTTGCCGCAGTGCTAGCGCTAGCGGTAGCGCCAGGCTCTTCAGCGACACGGGGGCATGTGCGGCAGGCATGCGCAAAGTGTATGGCCAGACTACTCAGCCCTGGATGCAAACCTTGTCACACTTGTCACAGCGTGGCAAGGGAGCAGTTGCCATGGCACCAGCTGCGCACGCACCAAATCTATGTGACTAGGATTTTTTGGCCACGCCTTCGTCTTGGAGTGAACATTGCATGAGTCCGTGCTTTGAGCTGAGAAGGAGCAGCATCCGAGCTGAGCATAGACATTTAGACCTCAACGCTTGAAACCAACCCTTCGCAAAAAAGAATCTATAGCAACATCTATACGTCTAGAATTCTCAAGCTTTGAGACCGGATCTAGGCATGTGCACGGCTTTCCATTTAGCTAGCGACGGAAGGGTCTAGACTCCAGGGACTCACTGTCTGAAGACAGGATTACCCTCCTTTCAGCCTGGACCGAGTCGCTTCAGCCATGATTTGAGAGAAAACGAAGTGGCAAACTCTCCATAGATCTTCTTCGGGCAGCTCGGCAGCACCTCCATGAAAAGCTGCCCAGTAGGCGAAGCTCCAGTTAGACGTCTTGCAGCACCTGCTCCTTGGTCTTTGATTGGTCCAATGCTCAGCCCTCCAGCGAGAGCGGCGATGTCCCTACTGGAATCAGGATATCTTGTCCTCGAGCTCGCAATTCTCTCCTGCTGACAGTCTGCGCACATTTCCAATGTGACTTCGAGCGAACTTAAAGCACCGTTCTCGACCATCCCGAGGCACCAGATCCAGCCAATGCCGGCGTCAAGGTACCCATCCACGCCAGTGATGAAAGCTCCTCCGTCTCAGTCTCGCAATGCGCGCAGTCCATAGCGTTTACAGCCTCGGCTTGGCCTGCGACTCCGCCCAAGTGAACCGCAAACAAGGTGCCAGGGTGGCATTGGAGCGAGTACATCCGGACCGAGGGGTCCAAGTCCCAAAACTCAATGCAGCCAAGTCGGCTCACGAAGGCTGCGGATCCAGCTGAGAATGCTGCCAGTGTTTCACAGACGCCACTCTGTACCTGCAGCGTCGCCGTAGGCCGTCTATCGCTGGACTCGTTCGGACCCAAGTCCCAGACATGCACACTGTCCATCGAAGTGCTGATGGCTCTCTTCTGCGTCCAGTCTGCTACCATGGTCCGAATACTGCCTTGGTGTCCCCTGAGCACGCCTTCGCAGATCTGGCCCCGGAGATTCCACATGCGCAGAGTGTTGTCAGAAGAACCGCTCAGGGCCAGGTCCCCGCCAAAGTCTGCAGCAAGGCTTGTCACCTGATCCGTATGTCCAGCCAGCGGGCTGCAATAGGGGTGTAGATGGTCATGATCCATAACATCCAAACTCCAACAATGAACCAGCCCATCAGCCGAACCCGTCAGCGCACTGATCTGGTGGTGCCGGGCTGTGGCATGATAAGCCGCCACCCGTGCTCGATACTGGTGACCCTTGGTAAGCCGTCGGGGATGCCAGAATGGATGCCCCTTCTCCTCATCGCTCTCGGATCTCTCGGCCACCTCCTCCGGCAGAAGCCGCAACTGGGACCAAGCCACGTCCCAAAACAAAACATCTCGCTCCACTGAGATGGTGCAAGCCCGAATGGCTTCGTTACGCTCGCTTCCCCAGTCTACAAATGCCCAGGCCACCTCATCCGTGTGCCCTGGGAGGCTCTTCAGCGCATGCAGGCTCTCACCGTCGGCGTTCAGGTCAACCTGAGGGAGGTGACACGGCCAGGCCAGCACCCCTTCAGCCTTCAACCCATTTCATCTTGCCAAGTCGCAACATGGACCATGCCGTCGGAGGAAGAAGACAATGCTAATTTGGATGGGAAGTTGGCTCGTAAGGCCCTCGAGGTTCCACCCACATTCGGCGCACTTACCGCCACAGGATTCCGGAGCCTCCTCATGTCCCACAGCTCGAGAAAGGATTTCTGCGTGCAGACTAGAACACCCCAAGTTGTGAAATCGGCAGAAACTGCTTTTGCCCAGGAGTAGCTCGCGGAGTCGCGCTCCGTAGCCTCATTAACACAGCGTTCACGCTTCACATCCCAGATCTTCAAAGAGGGTCGTGGGCTGGACTGTACAACCAATGCCAAAACAGGTCCGGCCATAGATAGGCAGACCTCTGGGACACATGGCCGTGGCCACGGCCATGATGCTCTGCGCCCGCATACGCCTTCCGACCGCCTGCGTTGCTTGGAACCTGATCCTGGAAGCCGAAGCGTTGCAGGCAGGAAATCTGACGACGCATCGAAATCAAAGCAACATGTGAGCAAGCATCAGAAAGCAACGCAACATCTTCCGCGCAGAAACATGTCCATTGCTGTGATGCAGCAGAGCATGTCCGTGAAACAGCAAGAAGTTGTCGTCTTCTGCGTGCACACCATGCAGCAGCGCGAGTGCTCATCAGGCTGAACATCAGATCGTACTCGATCCAGTCGAAAGGCTGCTCAACGTGTGCTGATGTGGGTGCAGTATAGCCGATTGTTGGTGCCAGTGGCGCAGGTCCCAGAGCAGTGACAAAAGCCTTGACGTGAATGCGGAACGGACAAGCTGCGCTGCTTTGTGAATCTGGTTTCTGAGCCAGCCACACTCCCTGATGGACCCAGGAGGCACGACCTCTAAAGCCAGGTGCCAAACTCCGGCAAATAACAAGCACAGCATCTTTGAGTGCTGTTTGAGCTTGGAGTGACCGAAAAAACTCGCAAGCCAAATTGGGTGGCCGGCCGCTCGGCCAACATTGTGATCATCGTGAACCTCGCAAAACTCTTTGAAAGATCGCTCGCAGCAGGAGGCATTGTCTCAGCCACAGGCTGCAAAAGCAGAGCTTGCGCCAACATTCATGAATGTGTAGGTCAGCAAGTGCGTGCTGTAGTCGGCCTGCCTGATGCTTCGAAGATGGAAGCCCATATCTTGCTCAGAGGCTAACACAGACATCATGTTGCCGAGCCACTTGTAGTACGAACACTTAGACAGCTTGACCACGTTCTCTGCGTGGTCAGATGTTACCATAAAAACCTTCAAACAGCCAGGCTGCTGATTGGAATGGAGTATCAAACCATGAAACTCAGACCTGCGGACAGACGATTCCGGATGCGCTGCAGGTTGTTGTAGAAGACCTGCGACGACGGCCCCAAAAGCAAAAGATCTGCTTCTTGCCACCCAGAGTCGCCGGCATGTCCAAAGTCAGAGCCGTCGCAGCGTTGGCGTTGAAAACAATCTGCAGAGCCGCGTCACCCGCGGCTGCTACCTGACTTTTGCTGAGATGACCAGGCACAAACAGTAAAACCTCAGACTTGCAGCATGCAATGAACAAACGCCTGACAGCTTGAAGCGGAAGCAGTCAAAGTACACCTCAATTGCACCGCCTCCGCGAACCCTCCCAGCATGAGAATGAGAACGAACTCCGAGACTCTGACGCGCTGCTGCTGATCTTGAAAGCACGCTGAGAGGCGCACGGCCTCGGACAAATTGGGTCACATGCGGTCTGCCAAGAGCGCAAGACCCGCACTTCTTAGATCGGAAATTTGGAAAGATTGCCCTTCACCCGTGACCCGGAAATGCCAACGAAGACTGCTACCTCACGGAAAGCTCGACTTGCTGCAAGGAACGACACTCGCTGAAAGTTGCAGGGTGTCCGACAAGAGAAGACTCCCTGAATCTGAGGTTGTAACAGTATTCCGGCAAGGAGAACTGCTGATGCCAATCTGAGGCGTGGGTCTTTACTGAGTTTTCACTCCAAGCTCCACAGACTCATGAAGGTGGCTCCTGATGTAGGCACGGCAACCGAGGACGCTCATGGCGGGTCATTGGCGTCAAAACGCCAGGACACCATGAAACGGAGTAACACTAGGCTGGACTGACTGGACTTTATGGTAAGAGGCACTTCTGTTCCACCCCCGAGGCAAGCACCCTGGATGGCAAATACATGCTTCCAAACGCTTGAGACAGCATGCGCGTCGACCGACATTGCCAATTCTATTTCAGACAGCAGAAACCAGATATGCATGACCGTGGCATCAAGCTTCGTACACTTTGTGGATAGTGTTGGCGCTAAGTCTTTTCGCAGTGTGCTTTTAGCACTGGAACTGCTGCAAACTATCCTATTTGACTACACCTCAGCTCGATGACGTCCTGGCAGGCAAGTATCAGGCCGGGGCAACACGCTCCAACACACTGTCTCTTTCATCTTTGGCAGACCTTCTCCTCGGCCAAAAAAGCGAATCGTCTATGCACAGTGCCGGCAGCTTTGCCAGCTGTGACGGTCCTGTGAGTCATCGGACAGACACGGGGCACATGGATTTGCACAGACCCATCTTGCGGCTTGCGAACCTCACTGTCACGAGAGCTGCTTCAGGGGCTGACGCTTTCTGACACCCACGCGTCCTCGCAATGACCAGCCGCTGACCCTCACCTCATCTGATAGGACATAGGCCATCGAGGCTTAGGCCTTCAAAAATTACTGCACCACCCTGCACTGTCCGCAACATGAAGGTAGAAGACAACCTTCAACTTCCATGCCGCTGGATGCTGCTAAAGCAAAAGGTCTTCTGGTGAAAGGGGTTCCTTCCATGCAAGGCGCATGGAGCGCTTGATGGCATTGAAGAAGTCCAGCAAAGGTCTGATTTCCCGTCGTTTCTCCGGCTTTTCCTCAAGATCACGGATCGACACTGTCAGAGTGCACCGAACCTTTCGGCAAAAGGACATGTGCCTCCAAAATCGGAGCTGTCAGCTTTTCTTGCAGCATTAGGAAGGTTGCTTTTGCCTGATCCCAGAGCACTTCCGTTGTATTCTCTGTCTTTAAAGACTCTCTCTTGCCGTGTTGAGGTGGGCACGTCTGGACTTGGGAAGAATGACTCCCATTCGGTCCTTAGCTTGGAGATGTGCCAGGAATTCAATGTGCTCAGAGCCAGAAAAACTGCTGGTCTAAGCCTAGAACATAAAGTCCTCGTTGTCGGCCATGGCCTTCTCAACACTTCAACACACAGCAACTCAATCAAGATGTTGAAGCGACATTGCGCCACGGTCCTGTTTTACAAGAGATCTTCCGCTTCGGGTTTTCGGCTTACCCGCCAGAACTCGGGCGAAAGCATTACGGTATCGCTGCCGAATCCACCAGTACTTGGGGGAAAGCACTTCGCATGCTCACATGTAGAAAAAACCTTCTGCGGGAATTCTGCATGTCAGCCTTCGAAAATCGTAATGTCGTAACCTTCTGTGGGGATTGTGCGCGTTTGCCTTGCTCGTTACCCGCCAGTACTTGACGGAAAGCATTTAGGCTTTGCTGCGGAATCCGTCAGTACTTTGGGACCACAAGAAGCCCTCAAACATCCAAAAACTTAGAGGCCGACAGCGAGCCCGTCTGCGAGGCTGTACTTCAAGTCCTCGGGAAACCTGCCAGAAGCAGCGTGAGCTGGACAGCCAAAAGAAAAACTTTCTTGTCTAAGCCGAGGCACTGCTCTGCAAAGCGGAGGAAGTGGCTCACGGCCAGCTCCACCAACTGGAACTCACGGCTCCGCGCCAGGAGCTCCGAGTTGTTCAAGGCCTAGCATTCTTACGAGAACAGGGCGCCTGCCGCGACGAGATCAGAAGCTGTCAATTGACCCCGCCTCTGCATGCTTCATCAAGGAGCTAAAGTAATACCTGCCGCCAGTCAGTGTCAGAAATGCTACCACTTGCAGCACAGGCTGTGGACCAGAAGAATGTAGAACCGGGGCACAGGACCACGGACTCTTGGAGGCGGGCTTCCCCTAGGCTGTCATCGAGCGAACTGAAGCACGCCTGTAGGATGAAGACCTCGGAAGCTCAGAAGACAAACCGAGAAAATGTCGCAGCTGAGGCCGTGACACAATGCTCAATGAGAAGTGGAATGTCCATGAGCTGCAAAGTTTCAACCTTAACAACAACTACCCGTCACATGTACAGCAGCACGACCGAAGATCGTGCAATAGGACGGCTACGTGCATGAACGCCTTCCGGAGAAGGGTGCCCAAACACTCCTTACAGCAGTACCGCTCTTGGACAAATCATACGGCATGGAGAACCCAAGATGTCCTCAAATTGGATGCATTTCTGGTCCAGCTGCATCTCTGTGGAGTCATAAGCCTGACACTAGTGGTGTCTATGGGCATCATGCATCATTAACAGTCTTTTAGAACCTGTTGAACACCAGTCGGCAAACATGTAAATGCGCCTTGATAGCCTCCTCGATCGTCGCCTGCCTCTCTGCTGGATTTTGCTGCCATCTCTTGAAGTCATACATCATCCTGAAACACACAAAGAAATGGTAGTCGCAGCACTGGCAACTATCTGGTGTGCATGCCAACACTCCTGAGGCACAGGTTGACTTTTGCTTCCTCGACCAAAATGCGAATCGCATTTTCATGTGTCTCCTCCGGGATCGACATCGGTATGGCAAGGCTAAAGCGTGTTGGACAAAAACTTCCAAAAACAAAGCTGTGTCCTGGTCCCAGAGAGTTCCTTCTGAGTCCATGTCACGTCCCTGAGCCTCCAGAACCTGCTCCAACGACAGGCAACAAGAGACGCAAAAGATGATCATCAAGCAGCCTTCGGATTGACAGGCATTCGGCCTTCCAGCTGCACCTTGTTCAGCCCCAACTCAGACACAGATCCGCATCCACCCGTTCACACACCCGAGTCCGCCACCAGTCTAGACAACTGCTTCAAGGAGTCCACCAGGGCAATCCACCTTCGTATCAACGCCATACTTCAAGCGACGTGCATTTCAGTGTTCGACTGTCCGTGCCACCAAGAGACTCAGCAGATAGGACTGGGTACTGGTGTATGTTCCGCACACATTTTCTACCAGCCTCGCATGCACTCACGCCAAACAATGCGCATGTTTAGAAACACCGCTCCTCGGCACACACTTTCAGCGGACGTTCAGATTCCACAGTGTCCTGCATCGATATAGTCATGCAGGACTCGCTTCAGTACACGGTGGGTTCGCCTCATTGACATATCTGCCAGCCATCAACAATCTCGGAAACGTCTGGTCAACTTCTGCTTTGATCCAACGCTGTGTTCGAAACAACATGTCTCTAGACCCTAGTGCCCTAGGTTCCCTCCAAGCTGGACTGCACTACCACTGTTGTAACCCACTGATCTGACAGTTCGCAACAAAAACCCTCTCACCCGAAAACCTACAAATGCAACAATTCACTCACGCATTTTCGCCGCCCTGAATGTCTCGCTCCGTGCTACTCCAACAATATCCGCAACAATGTTTTTTCTATCTGCGACACGAGATGGCTGGAATTCAAAATCGGAGGTCAAACTTGGTGACATAGGTCCGGAACAAGGATTAATAGAAATTCAATGCGGAAATTCGTGAAGGCCTCTGCCTCTCAACAAGATTTTTCACAATGGGGGTTCAGCGAAATCAGGCAACTTTCGGCATGATCGATTGGCAGGCTCCTGTGTCCTCGCATGCTGCATGTAACGGGTTCATCGCGAGAATCTGAACACGTGAATGCCGCTCCAATCCATGCGACAGGGTAAGACATTCCGCAACAACCATCTTCTTGTCAATGGACACAACAGACGTGGCACGCTGCGACCGCAACAGTCGGTGCACTGAATTCGAATCTTGAAAGCTGGTTTGATCCTGCGAATTACGAAATCAACAAATGCCAATAAATCGTCAGGAAACCTGTCCCACAAGGTGCACAAAGTGGGGAGTCAGGAAGCTGAACCACCAGACCTTGCAGTTCAGGTTGGGCGAAACGCCGCAAAATTTTGTCTCGGTCAACCGTACCTGTGTGCACTCGCCCTTCACCTGCTCGATGCCAGCCTGCAATGAACCTCCTTTAAAGCAACAAAACAGAAACCATGCATCTTCGACTTCTGTGAAAGCGAGACTTGAAACCATAAATGAAGGGAAATACCGTTTTCGCTTCACTCGGATCGATACTGTGAGAGCTAAGCTTGAGGCGGACGATGATGAGCGCTGATTGCGTGCACGTTTGCACATGCACATCATGTTAAATCAAAGTAGTGTTCAGGTGGAGGGCTGGGCTTGAGACCTTCACGAAGGAGAGGCTTCAAGGGGGCTTTGAGGGAGCTTCAAGGGGGAGCTTAAGGGAGTCTTAAGGAGAAGCAAGGGGGACGAAGGGTCGAAGGGCTTGAAGGGAGACCTGAAGGAGCTTCTTGACAGTTACCAAAATTCTTTCAATGTTCCGGAAGAACAAAATGGAAAGTTTGGATGACATTCTGTCCAGGTTAGACATCTATTGTTCTTACTTTCTGTGTATTGCTCCAATTTTGGTAATACGAAATTGGTAAGGAGTCCACAGCACAGATGTGAGCAGTGCGCAGAAAGAACCCAAGACAAAAATATGTTTCTTGTCTATGCCATCCGGACAACAGATCGGTCGAGCTTGGGGCGAGGTTGGATGCGCAATCGTTTTTTGCTGCTCAAACGAACGTCCGAGTTTGTAGTTTCCACGGTTTGCGTTTCCCTTCACATAGATGTCTCGCCCGGCGCGGGTTGGCTGAAGATGAAAGTTGTGGCTTGCCGGCGAGATGTGCAACGGTGGAGATTCCGTTGCACACATGCGAGCTATTCAAGCCGCAGCAGATGTTCCACTCGCGTCCGAAGCGTGAACAAGTCACAAGTTCTTCCGGATCTTTGTAACGCCTGCACACGGAAAGTCTCAGCTGTTTTGTTTGCCGAAACGCACTTATACATGTAGCTGTGGTTTCACGCAAAACATATCCAATGCACTCATTTCGATTGACAGTAAAGAATGAGCTGAATCAAAGTTCCGCAAAGGTTGTGAGTCTCCAAGAGAAAGAGCGAAGACCAGCTTCTCAAGTAAAAACAAAATGTTCGGTTGCGAACAGGTTTTCCGACAGTTTCCTGTGGTTTCCTAGCGTTTCCCACAGATTTCCGACGGTTTCCTGCAGGTTTCCTATTGTTTTCCACATGTTTGTTGTGGTCT